ATATATAAGCAACAATCTGAAATTTGTGGTTTTGGGATTTCTTCAAACAGCTAATCAGTTAACAAATATGTAAAGCATGATTTCCTTTTATACCACTTTAATTTTTTAACCTATTACTAAAACAATCCAATCCCCCTGATAGCTTCCCTCTAATATGGTAACAATATCTAAAGCCATACTTTTAATAAACATATTTGATTCAAAATGGAAGCAGCAGCACTAGCAAGCTGGAAAATCAGCTTTATTTCAAATAAGAAAAAAGTTTGTTCATAAGGAAAAGGCAAAAAGGACCTAAATTCAAAAGGAAACAAAAGTATTAAAGACTTATGAAAATGTATTTGGTTTTCTCATCTGTTAAGTGGAAATAATTATAACACCTACCTCACAGGGTTGTCATGAAGATTAAATGAACTCATACAAGCAAAGCACTGAAAATAGCGTCTAGGCTCACAGTGCTCAATAAATATTAGTGCTAATTATTATTATTATTGGCAGTGGCTCGTGTTATTAACCATCTTTTACTTTTTCAGTAGGGAAAGCAGTCTTAAAGGGATCATGATTTTGTGAAAATTTTGGCTGCCAAGTAATGATAGCCCTATTTCACAGGGGGAGTACACTGAAAAAACTACTCATGATTTCTCAAATTCAAAAGAGGTAATTACAGAGGAATCAGTGTTTCTGATTTGTGAAGGGAAGGCTATCATCTAAAAAAGAGAGCTAAGGCTTATTCTGCATTTTCCAAAGAGCTGGACCTGAATTAAGTGGTAGAAATTACAGAGGGAAATGTCTGCTCAGTATAAGACTCTCCAACATCCGAAAAGGGAACCCACACGCACTGTTGGTGGGATTCTAAACTGGTGCAGCCACTATGGAAAACAGTATGAGGTTCCTCAAAAAATTAAAAAAGAAATACCATATGACCCAGCAATCCCACTTTTAGGTACTTATCTGAAGAAATCCAAAGCACTAATTTGAAAAGACATGTGCACCCCTATGTTAATTGCAGCATTATTTACAATAGCCAAGATACAGAAGCAATCTGTTCATCAATAGACAAATGGATAAAGAAGATATGGTATGTACATGCAATGGAATATTACTCAGCATAAAAAAGAATGAAATCTTGCCATTTGTGACAACATGGATAGACCAAGAGGCTATTATGCTAAGTGAAGTCAGTCAGACACAGGAAAGCAAGTACCACAATTTCACTAAAAAACAAATGAACAAACAAGACGGAAACAGATACAGAGAACATTTTGATGGTAGGTAGATGGAGGGGGAGTTGGGTGAAAAGGGGGAAGGGATTAAGGTGTAAAAATTACCAGTTATAAAAAGTCATAGGGATGTAAAGTACAGCATAAGGAATATGGTCAACAATATTGCAATAACTATGTAGGTGTCAAATGGGTACTAATTGGGGTGATTACTTCGTAAGTTATATGAGTGTCTAATCACTAGGTTGTATACCTGAAACTAATATAATATTGTATATCAATTGTAATTGAAAAATTAAAAGAAAAATACCCTCCGATATCTAAAACACTCTCCTTATAATAGGATAGGAGGCCTTGAAGGGTAGAGTATAATGTTACTGAGTGTGAAAGTAGGAGTTGCATCAGTCAAGGATGAGAAAGAGAAATTCCTTATTAAGTTCACATTATTGCTGTTATTAAGATAATAATAATAATGACAACCACCACCATCACAATGTTGTTGATGATAGTTAACACTTCTACAGAAACTGCCCTGGATTGCTGTAAGGACTTTACATATAGTGACCCATGTAATCCTGGCCGCAGCCACCTGGCTCCACAGTCTGTGTTCTTATCCATAATAAACTGGCTCCCTCCGTTCTGGAATGCTGAGCAAGTTACTTAACCTCTCTCTCTCTGTGCCTCCATTTCCTCATTTATAAAATGAGGGAGATAATAGCACTTATCTCAGATGATAAAGATTAAATGAAACAACACATATGTTTAGCACCTAGAATAGTGCCTGACATACAGCAAGTACTTTACATGTAACTTTTTATATAAACGTCATTTCAACTTTTAAGAACACTGTTTTACTTAGATGACAAGTTAGGGAAGGCATAAAGAACTGTCTTGGCTATAGTGAGCAATCTGACTCGATTTTTTTTTTTTAATCAAATAAGTGGAATTCAAAGCTTGCTGATATAGGACTGATTTTCTAACTAAACAATATTAGTCATGAAAAACATGGGCAAAACTGCTAATGTGAGAGTTCTGCAGCGAGATCAGATTCTCTGCATACTTTGCCATGGCTAAATGTAATGTAAGACACTGCAAAAAACCACCCATAACCCACTGCTGACTTCTCTCACCATCCCCAAGACCTTGCCCGATCATTCCACTTTCAGCAGATCCTTAATTGCTTCACACACTGGACTTTGCCTAGTATCTAATACTTAAACAACTCCCAAACCTAGGTCAATCCTACCCACTTCTTTTCCACCTGCCATCCAACTGCAGCCTGGCATCCAATATGGCTTAATAAACCTACTCACTCCTTTACAGATTCTCAGAGGCAACATTAAACCTTTATTTCACTCAGGCTTCCAGGTCTACTCTTGCTCCACCCTCAAATATCGTAGATTCCTCAATAATTGGAAAATAGAAGCATTCAGATACAAATTCTCACTTTTCATATACTTTCCTCCAAACCCCTAAACTCCTGCAACAGCAAATCAACTCAACATTTGCTGACCTTTGCCTAGCTGTTTCATTCTCCAAACCCATCCTGTTCTTAAAAAAGAAAAAACTTCCAGACCTCCTTTCCAAGACCAACTCTTTCTATTTCTATTCCCTGGTGCTACCCAGGAAACATAGGTGACGTCATCATCTTTGGTTTGTTGTTCTGGCAACTATTCCTGTCTCCCACCTCTCTCTTGGATCTTTCAACTTTTTCCACTCATCCATAAACATGCTCATAAGAAAAAAATGTTCTCAATCCTGTTTCCCTCATAAGCCTTGACCCTTTCCCCATTTTACTGCCAAATATCTAAGAGCGGTCTCTTGTTATAGGTATGTAATTGACTGAACTAATAAATGTGAATCACTGGAAGGCAACTGTTAAGGGTTGTTCTTGATTACAATCAATCTTTTAAATATGCTTATAGGTTCTGACATCCAGCGGCTGCAAATTTAGTGGCCATTATTTTTTTCCATTTACATTGTTTTAAATAAACATAATAAAGGAAAATATACCACAGAGGTGTGTTATATGTGACAAACTATACTGTAACTCAATGTTATGTGCTTTGGGACTTCTAACGCAAAGTTTATAGATTAGCAATACTAATACCCCAAAAAATGTTTTTTGAAGGATAATTCTTGCATGATCTAAGTCCTTACATTCTACAGAGTAGTGACTGAAGTTGTGAACAATAACATAATAATGTAAATTGTCTATATAAACTCTTAGAGACACATCTGATTTAAAACTTACTGCCTATATAGAAAAATATGCTTAAAGAAATAAAGGTTTCTCTATACCTTCAAGAAAAATGATCTGTCAAAAAGACCTAAAATAGAAAAGAACAAAGAGTATTTAACAAGCAAGAAAGCCACTGAAGGTGGAGCACAGAAAACAGGGGAGGGAGAGGCAAGGGGGAACCCACTGGGCGTCCAGGGCCAGAATTGATACATTTTGATACACCATAACAATAGGAAACAAATGAAAAGGTTTCAAGCTGGGAGATGGAAGGGTCAGATTTGCAATTTTAAAAGAATTACTCTAGTTGCTATCTGGAGAATAAATGGGTAGCCAACCAGAGCAAGCGTGAAGGGGACAAATGGGAATTAGAGGGTAGCTTCAGAAGCCTAAGCGGGAAATGATGGTATCCTGGATGAGGGAAGGTAGTAGAAATTAAAGAAGACAGATTCTACAAGATAAAATCAGTAAGATCTGGGGAATGATTAGATATGGGGGAAAGAAAGGAAGAGAGATGAAAATGACGTGTTTCCTGACTTTATATACATATATACATGGAGTTGTGGAATAACACATCTTGTACAATATATACAGAATTACTGACAGAAATTACCTATGGGAAGGGAAGATGAATTTTACATAGTAAAAGGTAGACTTTCATTTTTTTACTGTATAGATATCTGCATTGTTTAAATATTTTTATAATCAGCAGGTATACATTATTTCATAAATTCACATGCAGTAAAAAGAAATAAAGCATTTGCCTGACTGAAAAGGACAGAATTAGCATTTTAACGAGAAGAAACAATCTATCCAAAGGTTTTACAAACACATGAAAGTATGTGGCATATTTAAAGAATATCAAGTAGTCTAGTGTTTGTAGAGTAAGGAAGGATGTGTATTGAGATAGGATGAATAGAGGGATTAAAGCTTGTAAGACTATGGCCAGTTCATTAAAACAAAAACAAACAAACAAATAAAAAAACCTTATTATATACTAAGCTAAAGGAAGCATTACTTAAACTGTAGGAAATGGGGAAGTATATAGTTTTTAAGCAGGAAGGAGAAAAATCAAGTTCATATTTCAGAAAAATCGCATTTAAAGGCAGTGTGAAGACAGGGCCAAAAGGGAGGTAAGAAAATAGGCTGGCAGATCACTTAGGCCAGAACTTAAGCTAAAACAATGGAAATATAGATATAGAAAGGGAAAGACTTGAGATTCATTTCAGAAGTAGATAGGACCTGGTGTTTAAGCTAGATGTGACAGATAGGGAAAAGGAAAATCAAGGATGTTTCTCATGGTTTACAGTTTAGGAAATTAGATAGTGGTGACATCATTAATTTAGTTAATTCAACAATAGGTTCAATGAGAAGACAGTAAATTTTGCTTTAGAGATGCTGAGATTAAAGTACCTCTGGAAGCAGGTTAAAGTGCCCAACAGGAAGTTGGATACAGAGATTTGAATTTGAGGAACAAGGTCAGGAATGGGTACATGAACACTATTACCTAAAAGAGAATTTTAAGCATCTGCACATGATCTTACCCTCGAAGTAATTTCACTGAATTCTTGAGGCAACTGTTAAAAGTTGACCAGTTCCATTTATTCTCATAGTTGTAAAAATTCCACATAATTGTTAAAGTCTCTGTAGGTAATAACTTTAAAAAGCCAGAGTTTTTTTCTCTCGGTCTCTCTTTTAGTCTTTTTATTTTTTCCCCTTTGTCTCTTTCTTTCTCCTTTCTCTCTCTTTCTTTCTTTCTTTCTTTCTTTCTTTCTTTCTTTCTTTCTTTCTTTCTTTCTTTCTTTCTAGTTAAGGATGATATAAGAAGTATAATATAAAAAACATTTTGTTATTAAATATTTTCATATTTTGTCTTAATTGTAAAAGGCAAAAAAAGAGAACATTTCACAATTCTACCTTTAACAAAACCTAAATCAAATACTGATTTACCTATGTGACTCTCCACTGATTTCCCTTGCAAGTCATTGACAATTAGCTGTCATCCCCAAGGCACTCAACTCCAGCTGTAGTTTTAACCACAGAGGCTCCTGAAACAATTCCACAGTCCTGTTGTTGCTCACTGTAAGAAATCCGAATCACACTGTACCTTTGTCTAACCGATGATGCCCTAGTTTGGTGGGAGGTGGAGAGGAAAGACCTGTTGGCAAGGAAACAGCTGCTTCCTTCCTGAGCCAGGGAAAACCAGGAAGGTGACAGATGGGCAGAGCCAAAAAGCAGCCAAAGTTGCTCTGGCTTCTTGTTGGCAACGATTTTCACTGAGGCACAACTGGATATTTTAAAGCATATTAATGATTGAGAGTTTAATCTGCCTGGATGCTCTGCTGAAGTTCAACAGGGCTTCCCACACATTTTCTACATTTGAAAAACTTTAAAGTTTGCAGTGGTTACAAACAATCCGGCCTCAGTCTATGTGCAGTGGGCTAAGACTGCAAGGCACTGTCCCATTTCACTTGAGGATTATAACCAAGAGAATGCACTTTCTGGTAAAAAAAAAAAATTTCATTTTCTGTAGTTGTATTTGTACAACTTATTAGAATCACTATTAAATTTCATTTGAAAATGTTTTTCTTAAGTATGTTTACTATTTAATTTTAAAAAATTTGTTGCAAATGTTTATATTTTGGTCTTTTATCATTCTCCCTCCCATCCACTTCTGTACCCAGAAAATTAAATATCCAAGGATTCCTGGATAAAACAGACAACCACTGGATTGATATAACTAACATATTTTAAAAATAGCGTAAGTACGTAAGTATTGTTCATCAAATAGAAATTAGCAAACATTAAAAATAACATTAAAAATTAGTGTGGGCATGAAGTATGGAATTTTAAAACATCAGTTTACTATACTGATTAATTCAACATTTATATTTGCATCAGAACTTAATAATCCCATAAATAAATAGAGCTCTCAATTATTTTTAAAAAAATCAAGGGATAACATATGTATTTAGACATATTAGCAGCGTAAAGATGTATGCTTCAACACACTTATTGGGAAAACGTCTGAAAATATTACTACACTGAATTCAAGGGCATCCGCAGGAACCTGACATAAAAGTTCTCTAGAATACCAACAGTTCAGAAAATTCCAAAAAAGGAAAGAATCAAATAGGAAATAGCTTCAAATTAATCGACAAAGTTCAGTGCTTGCTCCAACTTGATTTTTCTCTCCATTGCAAAAACACAAAACAAAAAACCGAGTCTTGGGGATGGGTGGGTGAGTCACTTAGATGAAAGTTCATCTACTGGAATAAATGGAGCGGCCGCCTGGGCAGGCGACACCGGAGAGTCGGTGGTAGTGCTGACTTTCGCTGGTGAGTTACAAGAAGATCCAGTACTGCTGCTGTTTCCATCAAGGGTATCCGAAGATACACACACGCCAGGATCTGACAGCTGTGCAACGTCAGAAGAAAGCATGTTGGTGATGCCCTGGAAAAATCTCTTTGGCTGATACTCAGTTTCCATTTCACATTTTCTTTTCAATGGTCCAAGAACACTTGGTCTAATGCAATTAATGGGACTCTGGCTCCTTCGAGTAGTAAATCGGGTCGTAGGGCTGGGAATAGGACTCGGAGGCAATCCATTGCTACTCACAAAACTTTGCAAGGATGGTGAAAAACACTGCTTCCCAATTCCCCGGGTGGGAGATGGTGCTGGTGACACCGGAATGAAATCGATGCGCTTCGGGGAGGCGGATTTCTCCACATCGTTGTCACTCAGGCTGAAACTTTCCTCCCAGGAGTGGCTTATCTGCATTGCGTTCTGCACCTCGCGCTCGTGGACGGTCTCTCGGTTGATCAAGTCCATGCCCTCCTCCTGTTTGATCTGCAGCAGGCGGCTGCTGTGCATGCGGACGGGGGAGGCCGGCAGCGGCAGGCCATGGCGGTTCGGGAACGTCGTGCTGTTCCGCCTGGCGCTCGGCGCCTCGGCCTGGAACACCGGCGAAGTGTCACTGAGGCCGTGGATCAGGGGGGCGCTATTAGACCTCCTGAGGCCCCCGCCGCCGCCGCCGCCGCCCTCCGCCGCGCTCCCGCCCGTACCCGGAGGCAGCTCCAGGTCTAGCTCCATCTTTTCCTGAGCCATGTCGGGAGCCAGGGAGGCGGGGCGGTGCTCAATCAGAGAGCTAGGGCTCCCATTCCCCGCAGTCCGGGGCCGCCGCCGCCGCCGCCGCCACCGAGAATCTGTCAGCGGTCTCGGTCCTCTGCGCATGCGCCCCGCTTCGCGCAGGCGTCCTGCGGCCTCTCTCGCGGCGCCTGCTTAAAGCGTAAGAGCT